ACATATTTGTTCTCTAAAAATTTTCCCTTTTTTTATCACACCAGGGTGACTAGGAACATGAAATTATCCAGCCATGGCTTCCTGTTTCAAAGGAATATAAATATGAGGAACACGAAGGCCAAATTCCTGACAGCATTGTAGATTCTATCAAATAACAACAGATAAAAAATTAAAAACTGACTGTCCATGCTAGAAATCTTACATTGGACCATGGTTGGGTCTTCCAACAGGACAATGATCCACAAACAAACATCAAAATCAAGCCAAAAATGGGTCACTGAGAACAAAACCAAGCTTCTGCCCTGGCCAACCCAGTTCCCTGAGCTGAAGCCTGTAGTAAATGAGTGTGGTGAACTGAAGAGAAGCATCAACATGCAGCTGTGAATCTGAAGGATCTGGAGAGATTCTGGATGAAGGAATGGTCTCTCATCTCTGATCAGGTGTTCTCCAAACTCTTCAGGCATTACAGGAGAAAACTCAGAGCTGTTCTCTTGGGAAAAGGAGGTTACACAAAGTATTGAATAAAAGGTATGATTAATTGTGGTCAATGTGTATTAGAGAAAAATATGTATTTCATAATGAGAGGATTAATGATACAGATTTATTTTCACAGCCTTCTTTGATCATATTTACCAAGGGTATGAATAATTGAGCACAACTGTACTTATAACTTGGAATCAAAATATTACATTTCTGTCTTACTGCAAAATGCCACAATGTAACTAAATGATTATAAATAAAATGGTGAACTGCATGAAGTAATGAACATTGCACTGAATTATTTGATGCATCTTTAGTGAGAGAATGCACAGGTAAACATATTTTCAGTCTAGATTTAATTATGGCTAATCTTGGATAGGGTTGGGTATTGTTAGGGTTTTTTACAATACTGGTGCCAAATCAATACTTTTAAAATGGTATATGGTTAATCTGTGTTCTTCAAGCCATCTTTGGTATTTTCATGATTAAGTATATTTATAATCCATTGAATATCCAGTATAGAATATTTTTTCTGCCTCACTCTGTGACAAGAAGCCACATGTTATTTGGATGATGTTGTGGAGGAAAGACAAACATGTCGTAATGTTCTCTTTTGTTGGACAACAGTTATAGAAACGCTTCTCATTGCAAGTCATTACAAGAGAAGTTTAGCTTTAGGCATTTTAACTCAAGCATGTTTATTGTAGCTAGCTAGCGGTAGGCTACCTGCTGCCATCAGAGTCATGTGTTAGATTTGTATTATCAGAGTTTTCCGACTTGTCGGTAAATTAGTTTTATAATTATTCTGACACCACATGAATGCAGTGTAATTTAACTAGCGATCATGTATGGTGATGATCATTTATACATCCGTTTTGGAGCACCAGAGAGCAAATATTTCAATCCACAGCTCATGGTGTCATGATTATGTATCTGTTCCTTGTGCTTGTTTTGTTTGTGGACTTTTAGTTAGTTTTTAGTTCCCTGATATTTAGCCCTCATCTTTCTATTGTTTCTTGGTGGATTGTGTACTT